AATTAGAAATTCATCGATTTGAAAGTTTGAGAATTATTGAAAAACAAAAATACATTTTGTAACATTATTTATATATTTTGAACACTTTTTAATTTAGAACTTTGTAGAAGCTTAAAAATTTGAGGATTCAAAAATGTAGGAATTTCTGAAATTATAAAATTTGGAAACTTAAAAATTGTGAGGTTAGAAAATGTTTAAACTCAGACTTTTGTAATTGTTCAAATTCGTAATTGTTTAAAAATTCAGGAATTTATGAAATTTAAAAATTTATGAATTTATTCGTGAAGCTTAATTTAAAGATTTGTAAATTTGTTTACGAAATTTTTGAACATATCCATTTGCACGTCACCTAATCCCATAAGTACTACCAATGTATGAAAGTCACTCGAAAAAATGAAACAGTACTACAAACATGTCTTACATGTCTAACATGTCTTGTAGACTTCATAAGTCTGCAATACTATATTTCATAATACAATTCCTCAGTTTATTCGCTACTCAAGATATTTAGTCCTTTGCATATGCATGTCACATGTAATTCCGTGTCTACGTGCTGCACAAATACCCTTACTAATAATCCAGGATACGCCGTGAGGAATGTTTTTTTCATCGGTATTCAAAGATGATCTCCCGTCATTGCGCCGAATTCCGCAAGACAATGGGAGCCCCGAGGGGCAACCGAGGTAGGGCTGATCCTCGTCGTATCCTTGCACTCTCTCGGCTTTCTGCATTACATAATATCGAAACGACCTTGCGTTCCCTCGTACTACCTGAGGCCAGGACTATACCACGCGTACAGCACTCGGTGTACAACTTCCGCTCGGAACCTTCTCGCCGCCTCTTTTGACCCCACTCTTTTCGCTCTCCTTCTCTTCGTTAGACCTTTCTGTCCCGGTACCGCGACCATGCCTGCATTCTGTCCCGTCTTTTTCTTCTCTTGCCACTATTTTTGCTTTCGCCAGAAGAAAAAGAGGCCGCTGGATGAATAGAGGGCGCACAGCCAGGAGGAGGACGCCAGCAACAGGTTTTGGCGGGCAAACAGGAGACCGGCAGAGTCAAGATCTACGATTCACTTTTAGCCGACGGGACTTTTTTATCCCGTCGGTGGACGTGGCGTGAATCAAAACACTCGTTCAAGATCGCTTCAACAAATTAGCGTGCAACTATTCGTGACATTAGGTCCCTTCAGGAATAATCGAATTATTATTCTCTGAAGGTACCTCCGATTTGAAGGACCTTGAGGTAGACTGTCAAGGTCATTTTGAACCTTTTCACATACTCTTTGCTTCTCGACAAGGAATATTAACTCTGTAAATAAATTTGACTTCATGAATTCTCGAATTTTTAATCCCTGGAGCCCCAAATTTTTCAACTTCCAGTTTGAACCACAATTTTTAAATGTAACCCCAAATTATTAGATGCAAAACGTAAATCGTTTAAGACTTAAATTACCGTTGTGTAAACTGTTTAAACCGTGTGGTAATTTTTAATTTTTTTGAAAAACGCTACGATAAAACGTGGCAGGGACCTGTTATAGATCGGCATTAAATGATAGCATAATTAATAGCCACAGGACAGGAATTTACCCCGAGGGATCATTTTATACGTCGGTCGTTTAGTTTTCTTTGTTAGTCTGTCATAAACAGTGCAATAACCATACGATTTACTTTGAAACTGTAAAGTTTACTCGGTCCGTAAGTTCGATCGTTAAAGAATTGCAATCGTAACGAAATCGATGCATCGTGTTACAATTCGCTTGGCACCCTTGAAAGTGCATCCGGAAGCTGCAACAATTTCATTTTATGGACTTTCTCGTATACCGTTCTGTTGCGAGCCATTTCACGGATACAGAGTGTGAACATCTCCACGGTAGTGCCTTTTACGATTTACATTCATTTCCATATTGCATCTGCTGGCTCTTTACAGTTCGCCGAGGAAAAACGTGACTGATTAATGACGTAATAAATAATCCAACGCAGCCCCGCGAGCGAATCAGGACTACGTGGTGCTTCCATAAAACCGTTCCGTTGCAAAAAGCTTTCCACGATTACTCTTTGAGGAATAAAACCTCGTGGACGAAATAAAATCTGAAGATATCGATAGAGTTCGCGCGGTCCTTGTCAAATCTTCCAAGATGGCGGTGGCAAGAGGTACACTTCTTCTATTGGTGCATATTGAAATTTACAAACTCAGAGAAAAGACCGAAAAAATTTGGAGATTTCAGATCTTTGAAAAATTGAAAATTTCGAGAATTAAACTAAAAATCTGAATTTTTGGTAATTTGAAAATTTGATAGTAACGAAAGTGCTTGAATAGCCTCGAAACACTTAAATAAATGAGCTCGCAGACTTCATTCGACGAGATAGAACGCACCTGCTAACAGCACTTTCACACCTATGGCGACAATTCTATGTTTTATCGTATCCGTGGTTTACTGGCAATCGTTATTCAAGGGTTTTACAATTTGCAATGTCTAGTTTACGAACTCTCAACCAACATCTTTTCTACGGTCTCCTTTCATACCTCTTCCACGATTGCTAGCGTGTTACTATGGTTTACGATTGCAGATCATGCGGATCCAACAGGAAACGCGTAAAAACAGGAGGTCGATGTAAAATCGCAACAGCCGACCGTGAAATAAAGCAACCTGACGAGAAGCGAGCTCGAGCGAATGAACCTCGAAAGCTTTGTTTCGTTTTATTCTGATTTATGGAGACCAATAGTAATCTTTTTCTTGGAACGTATTAAATTTCGGGTTATCAAAAGTCTGGCTCAATTTGGTAGCACGAAGTACCACACGATGCTTCTTCTATAATTTAAAACTTTGAATAAATGATGATGTTTTGGAACATCGAGGTTTGATTATAATTTGATGACATAAAAGTGCAAAATAAAATGGTACCTATGTTATATTGATGTAAAGCTTTTGTCGAAAATAAATACATAAATGTTTCATAAACATTCTTAATAAAAAATAGTTGAATAACTACAGATTAAAAAACGACCATATCTTTATGAACGTATTGGACATAAATTGACAATACACCAATATTTTACATTTATTACAAACATTCCATAAACTCAATTTGTATAAGAAAAAAAATATGCAATTTTATTAAAAAAAGCAAATCGTCAAGAAATATCAAAAATATTTCCACAAATTTCATGCCCACATCTCTCAAAAAATTGACTGAATTTCAGTTGAAACATATAAATAGAATTATTAATAGAAATAAATAAACGTATTAATCGCCTGTTAACGCAGAAAAATACCGTGTTCCGTAATGCACAGCCTGCAACAACCATATCGAGTCGAAGGTGCTTTACGAGCAAAAAACCCCATGACTCGCGGTGAAACGGCACCCGCTAAAAGAGCGGAGAGGGGATGATTGCGAAACAAGGATGGGGGAGCAGAAGAGTAGACGTCAGACAAATTCGGCAGAAAAACGTCGGACATCACACAGGGATAAAAGTAAAAGCAAATTAGCAGACGTGCTTGAAGCTACAGAGACGCGAGAAAACAACGAGCTCCCCTTTCACCGACCCCCTTAATCCACCCCCACGAGCCGTGTTGCCCCCTCCTTGGAGCGTGCAATAGAGCATACGATGCGTCTAGACAAAATAATGATTTGGATTTCAATACATTTGCATTCATTACCCGAGGGCAGCTCTCTCCTCCTCGCCGCCTGTCGCTCTCCTCCCCTCGCCCCTCTCTGTGATCCCGTTTTCGTCTCGCCCCCGCGTGTTAACCCCTTCTACCATGCCGTTTCATGTCTCGCAGAGTTACGCTCGTTATCATACGAATGCTCTCCTCGTGCCGTCGGCGCTCGTTTCGTCGTCGTCGAAATGCGACGCGGTCCGGACGAGTGTAAGCAGCCCGGGACCAGCTCGCCGTCTGGCTTTTGCGTCTCTGTGTGCGGGACACGCACGTGTGACTGCCCGACGGGTCAGTCGGAGGGTGGCAGAGAGAAACGGGGGGTGTGATGCAACGTATACCGTGTCCTTTTTTCAGGGTGGTGGAAAAAAGGCGAACAAGGCCAAATTGCGAATTGCAGCGGCGCGACCGACCAAACTGTTCGGCTAATTAGTGGACCGGGTTTAGGCCGACCGTCGCCACGTTTGCATGCATCTTCTGCATCGGACACAC